CCTAAGCCTAAGCCTAAGCCTAAGCCTTAAGCCTAAGCTTTAAGCGTAGACCTGTTTAATTTGAAGAAAAGAAGATTATAGTAATTCTATTGAAAACCGGTGAGGTGTTCAGGTGGTCCTCCAGTGTTGTATTTGCATAAACTTGAAAAATGTTTGATTCTTCCCTGCACTGATTTTCTCTTGCTGATAGTGCCGACGATGTTCTTCTTGGCGGACAGCTGTTTTGTCGAGTCGCTGAGAGAGCATCTATTTGTATTAATAATTTCTTCAATCTTGTGTTTCGCCAAGTTGAGTGATCCGTGTGCCCAACGTGCGTTGGCAGAAGTTCTTTGGCTTTCCGGTAGATAAAGTATCTCGTAACGCTATCGCATAACGCTTCCATTAACGATTAAGCCCGTACAGATCGTACAAGATCTTCCCATAAAAAAGAGTATTGATTTAACTGCTTTTCAAAAAAACCATAATTCCAATTGCGTCTGCCACTGTGTTGCCGGAGACGGTGACTTTTCACCAAGCTTTCTGAATTAGACTTACGCGGATCTTTTTGATAAATTATGTCATGTAGCATCCCTTGCAGCGACAGACTTTGCATATCCGGCTGTTGATCGACCATGCCTCTGGCCATGACATTTGTGATGGCTGTTCTTTCATTCAGTTACATTGTCTGTTGTTTCATTCTTCCCACTTCCTGATAATCGTTGGTACCGCCAACTGCTAGCCTCGCCGGTGATGTGTACTTATAGTTTTCTGGGGCGCGTAGAAAGTACGATAGTGCAGTAACGAAGAGGGAAGAAGTGAGATCGATCAAGCTAGAATGTTTTCAATGGAGCCTACAAGGAAGCAAAACCCCGATCGGGTAATTAGCATAAACAACTTTTGAAAAAAATCTACAAGCATGCACTATCAAGCCGGCGCCAGCAGGATTTGTTTAAAAGTAGCTAACAGAAGCAAGAGGGGTTCTTTTCGAAACACTGCACTTTGGTACATAGATGGTTGAGGAGATTTGCAACTTGGTTTTTGTTGATAATTGCTGTACTCACTGGTATTCATTGATTGATCTGGTTCAACTGTCATCTATTAAAGGTGGGTAATTTTCTCTAAAATTTTG